TGGGATCCTTCCTCCACGGAGTTTCAACGATATTCCTGTTTGGTCTCATATGTAACGAGATCGTCCCTCGAAACCTCGTCGTGTTCCACGAAATAACCGACATTTCCTCCAAAAGACGAAGACTCACGTTGATACGATTGCATTCCCCCACGACTATCATCCCAACGATATTCCGAATCGCACCCGGGGTTAGCTGTGAAAACGCAATCCGTCTCGCGCTGCAGTAATCCACCAGCAAATCAGGCAATGGAAGCTGCAGCCCGCACTTCTCAAACCAATACTCGTATAGACAGACGAAACCGAGGGAAGCATCCCAAGGGCGCTCATCCAGCTCGGGAACCCGAAGATCAAGACCAGAAACCCTACAAAGCGACTGAATAACCTCAAAAGACTCAGGAGTTGATCGAGATTTCGGGAAAGCACAAAGATCCTCCTCTATGTCTTCCTGAAGAGCCAACTCCGACTCGGTACTAGACTCAACGCCAACCTCAACACTCACCCTGCCATAATTCGCTAGGACTACTCCACCCCCTTTGCCACGTTCCTCTGTGACAACTCCGCTCATCGCCACACCTCCTCCACAACAAATACCGGTACCTCCCCCAAACCCCTCAATATCCACAAACTCTGACCCACTAGAGGAAACCGATTTTTCGCGGCTCGAAGACGAAGAGCCAGCACCTCTAGAAGATGTCGACCCTTCGGAGTCCCGAAGAGGAGACGGCCCCCCTGCAAAAACACCGGCCAACTGCCACCCTCCATCGAAAACTAAGTGTAACGACAGACTGACAACCGGCTATAAAATCTGCAAGAAAACGACAACAATTGTTTCAGTTAATCAAGGCAATAAAGATCGGCAGTCCCGACAAGTCGCAAATACCCATTAGCTTCGACCCGATACGATTCCAGATGCTTGTCGAGTTCTGACCAATCTCCCGACTACAACAAACAATGATCATTCGCAAGGAGCCGGCGAACCTTTCGAGCGCCCGGCATCCGAGCAGCCAGCACCTGGTCCGAACCAAAGACCGAGCGGTCGGCTCCCCACCGACGACCGAGCGGCCGGCTCTCCACGACCGAGCGGCCGGCTCTCCGCGATCGAGCGGCTGGCTCTCTGCGACCGAGCGGCCGGCTCTCCGTGACCGAGCGGTCGGCTCCCTGCAACCGAGCGGCCGGCTCCCCGCGACCGAGCGGCCGGCTCTCCGCGACCAAGTGCCCGACTCTCCGCGACCGAGCGGATGGCTCCTCTCGACCAAGCGGCCGGCTCTCCGCGAACCGAGCGCCCGGCTCTCCGCGACCGAGCGGCCGGATCTCCGCGACCGAACGGTCGGCTCTCTGCGACCGAGCGCCCGGCTCTCCGCGACTGAGCGGCCGGCTCCCCGCAACCGAGCGGCTGGCTCTCCGCGACCGAGCGGCAGGCTCTCCGCGACCAAGCGCCCGGCTCCCTGCGACCAAGCGGCCGGCTCTCTGCGACCAAGCGCCCGGCTCCCGAGCAGCGGCTGATTCCCGAGCGGCCGGCGTCATGGTGGACCTCCGGCTCGATGATTCTTTCCTTCGCACCTGGACACCGGGCATCCGTTCGCCGATCTACCACAACGACCCCCCGGCGTGCGACTCCTCGAAGTGAACGAGAAAGCAAGAAGAGAAGGGAGAGAGTAAGAGAAGAAGTTACCTTAGCTTGTGCTGCTGCTACTAGGAAGAGAATGGCCAAGAGGAGTGAAGAGATGAGGGTTGGAAGTATTTATAGAGAAAGAAGAAGAGCTGAAGATTTTCTCAGCTGACCAAGGAGCCACCTCGAGAACCGTGCCGTTTCGAAAATCGTGCTGACCAAAAAGTTGACGTCTCGGAAATACACCGGGCCAATTAACTTCGGAGAATCCATCACTTTTCGAACAAATTCTCACCTAACGGACTGGTGGGATTTACTGTTGGTACCGGGTCTAGAGGCCCATCTAATTGACCCAGTCCACTCACAAACCAATGGATCAATATCAAAGAAGGCCCATTGGCTGAAGTCAACCCGAGGTCAACAAGAGCAGAGGGCGGCCCGGCCCGTTTCTAGTTGGAAGTTCGGCCCATTCACGAAAAAACCTGCAGACCCAAAGACTGGCACCGCCATCGAGGTGCTATCAATAGCACAGTACCCTGATGTGACAAGACATCTGAGATTTTTAGGAAAAAGGACCTTTTCTCGGGAATCGAGCTCGACTTCTCTGCGAGACGTCTTTTTCTCCTCTCTTTGGACGGTACCCTGCTTGACGATTCCCCGGAGCTCGGAAAGCGGGCCGTCCTCTTTTACTTAAACTTTTCGATGATTTCGTCTTTGTCCTCCCCTCTTTGTACTTGTCGTTTTGATCTAATAATTAATAAAAAAATCTCCGAACTTTCGTCCCTGACTAGTCTATTTTGCTTAAAAAACAGTTCTAACATCAGGATGGATGGTGTATGGTGAGAGTATGTTTTTAATATATATAACTTTCTATTATTAAATTATACTTTTTGATTAAAAAATTGATGTATTCATATAAACTCTACATTTACACGACAACTAGGTGATCGGTCCGCACCGTGTGCAGACTATAAAATAATTTATATGTTTAATATATGATTAATATTGTATATTGATGATACTCTATTCATACATAATCTATATATCTTTTGATCTATTGTTAATTAAACTAAATTGAGTTTTACCATCTTTACTTATCCTAAGAGCGGATAGATTGTTGCACTGTAATCGAGGTTAACAAATTTCATGGACGACAAGTTCGTATGGGACTTTGACTTTTACATAATTAATATTTATATTCATACATCATTTGTGAAAAAAACGAGTATGGCTTCATGTGTTAAAAAAAAATAGCAATGCATATGTTTTGTAATATATATATATATATATACATATATATTTATAATATATTATGATTGAATTTTATAAAAGAAATAAATATGTATATATATGCATGTAAGTATGAGCTAGAAATAAATAAATTGTAATATTTAGGTGTTGATTAGTTTTTCTGATATTTTCTGCAAACGTTATGTTTTTACATAATATAGTTTTCGGCTTTTATCAACAATCACGAAAATCATTTCTATCGTTTAGTATCAAATCAAAATTTATTATTTTTAGCGATTTTTGTTTTTGGTAAATTATTTTTCTGCGTTTTGTAATATATAATTTCAAATTAAAAATTAAATTAAATATTAACCAAAAATCACAAAAAATTCTAAAAAAATAAAATATAAGATTTCACTTTACCATGAAGATAAATATATTACATTAGATAATCCATTAGTAATTTTCCTTTTCAATAAAAATTATGATAAGAATTTGCTATGAAATTTGTGAAATCATATTTTTATAAAAGTAAGTGTGTATTATAAAATTTGGTATACACATGTGTTCATTGAAAATAACGCGTCTTTTTAAGATTTTTTAAATAACTTTGTCAAACAAACTGCAATATTTTTACGAAAAACTAAAACTGTAAAGATTTATGTTTATTTTTACTTTTTATTTATATTTGTTTCATTTTATTATCATTTATTTTTTCATTCGATTATTGTTTATTTTATTTATGATCTTAAATTTTCGATATGTAAAATATGATAAGAGAGAAGATGAGATGATAATAAAAACTATGTAAATTTTAAAAAACAGTAGTATAAAAAGTGTTAAAATTATATACAAATATATGATCATATTAATACTATAAAATAGTAATAATTAGTATATACTTTATTCATTTGCCATAATAAGTAATGGTTTGAACAAATAAATTATTTTAAATTATGTTACTTTTTAAAATTTTAATAAAAGTTAATTATTATTTTATTATTTTTAAATCTTTTCGTTCTTTAAATTATTGTATCATGATTTTATTTTATTTTAAATTCCACTATTTAATAATGTATCTAATTTAAACCTTTTAAATGTTATTATTATAAATTTTCATAAATTAATAACTTTCTAAAATAAGAATATATCATATTTTAAACATTATTAATATATATATAATATTTACTATTTTATTGGATAATTTAATATTATATATTTTTTTTAATATAAAATTATAATATATAAATATGTATATGTATTGTAAAATTTTTGTACTAATACTTTATCTAATTATGAATATGTAAAAAAATTAATTATAATAATTATCTTTTTTGTTATTTTAAAATTATTTATAATCTAGTGTAGTTATGTTTAATTTCAAATTTTTTTAATTTTAATTCAACCAATCAAAACATTTCGTTTATCTTATAAAATTTGACATATCACATTTACATGTCATCAATACAATACATTAATTTTGATTGTGAATGTGATACATCACCAATTTTTACTAATTTTATTTCTCAAATAATGTGTAAGAGATTGATTTTATAATCTAAGAAACACAGGTGGATAGAGAGAGGAAGAGCCACGTTAGAGAACAAACCCAACAATTGACATGCAATCTTCTGTTGTGTTGTCCAAAGCCCAACACGTGTCACACTGTTTCTCTCGCCTTTAGAGAAGTTTTTTTTGCTGCAACTCTTCTTTTTGCTGCAACTCTTTCTGCTTATCCTCGGTTATATCGACTAATCAGGTTTGAGTCTTCTATTTCTGGAAATTTATGAATTGCATATGCTCAGTTGCTTGTGATCTTAATAATATAATACATTCTTAGTTAAATATTTTGATTAGTCAATCCCCTCACTAGTTTGTTTTTTAGTCTAATGATTTACTTGGGTTTAAGGAAGCTGTTACTAGAAATGTAGCATATTCTATTAAGAATCTTGAAGCTTTTTGAATCTCATTTTACTTGTTAACTCTTATCCAATTTTTGTAGTCAGGCTCAAAAACCCTTGAAACCCTATGTAAAATTTAACTTTCTGCAATATATTGACCTTAAACCCAATTAATCTGTAAAAAAATTGGTCACTTTTTTGGCTATGGCTTTTTCTGGAAACATGTTTGATCCTACATTTGTAATAATTACTAATTTAAGCATTTTTGGATTGAAGAAGGTGCAACAGTGGATTGGAAAATGGGATGGATTTGGAAGGAAGGGGTTAGTTTGGGAAAGAAGGTTCTTGCAGTAGGTTTTGTGATGGCTTTTGCACCATTCTTTGTTCCTCCACTCGTTGTTGCCTTCTTGATTGCGTTGATCTCGTCGCTTCCTTATTGTTTATACTTGGTGAGCTATGTTTGTACTGAAAAGCTGATGAGAAAACTGCTTCCCGCTACTGCTTTTGGTGATAAAACTGTGCAACTCCGCAACAAGATTGGTCACGGTGATGTATACAATGATCGCATAGCACGAGTTGCTATGAGTGAGCCTTTTCTCGTTCAGACCGAGGAAGATGATAGAACACACTTGAGAGTGGCTAACATTGTTTTTGATGTGTATCAAAGCCCTGAGGATATGAGAAAAGAGTCAAAGAGCTTGTTTAAGAGATTTAGAGATGAAGGTAGGAATAATAAAGGAGTCTTGGAGAAAGCTTTCGGAGAGGAGAACAAAGTGTCCAGAGATAATGTTATAGCAGGAAACAAGCAAGTGTCTGGGACTACTAGACGTGGAGGTGGTTTATAAAAGTTTAAACTTGCGCATGTTTTGAAAATTGGAAATTAGTTTATGAATCTTCAAGGTTGTTCTTTCTTTTTTGTAGGGGAACGTGAGTCAACTACAACTAAAGCATCTACAGTGAAGGATATGGAGAAATCTTCAAATGAGGTTAGGATATGTTCTTATTCTTCTTATGGTCTAGTTACAAAGACATGTTTTGGTTCATACAAAGCGTGAAATCATTTGCTTACATATCAACTTGATTATAAGAACTGTAGGATGGATTTTCATTATACAGTGAGTCAAATTCTATAGTCTCTCTTACTGGTATGTATATTCTATTTTGAACAGAGTTTATTAGAGTCCATGGCATATAGGTGTACTATCTTAGCTTCTTGAACTCAATTATCTGTCTCTGGTGGTGGATCCAGATGTTGTTCACTTTGATTTGCCTCTGTAACTCAAATGAATAGCTCAAAGAACTGGTCAACTTAACTGTGTCAAAAGTCAAAAAAAAAAACTGTCCAAGAGTGAACCTAGTACAGGAGAACTTATTCAAGAATGAACCATGTATGATTCTTATTCTTTTTCAAAATCAGTCTCAAAGGGGTTTTTCTTGTTTGAAAATGATATTTACAAGTATTGTTGCTGAGATTAAGGTTTTGGGATGTAGATGGTGTTGTATAACGAGGAGCAGATATGGGCAAAGATGGAGGCATTAAGGAAGATAGTTGGATACAGTGTTGCGAGGAGCACGACATATTCACAAGAACTCAAGGCACTTTACATGTTTACGGGTGTGGAATTGCCCACGTCGATGTTGGACAAGGAGCATCAAGACATTGCACATGTCAGTGAGAGACTTCACTTTTTAATGTCTGTCATAGGAATAAAATAGTTTTTCTTCTTTTGTTATAGTACATTGTTGTTATAGCTTAGTAACCACTCTGTTTTGGAACTGCACAATGACAACATACTTTTGTGTGTTCTTTTTTCTTTTGGCACTTGATCAGAGAATTTCAACATATTTCCCAAAGATAAATTCACATCAGAGAATAACAAAAAAAGTTTCCGATGAATTGATGCCAAAAACAAAACAGTATCATCAATGACAACATACTTTTTTTTTTGTTTATTTGTGCAAAGAGCACAATGAATAAGCATTTTCTGACCAAAAGCCCACAAGCCATGAACTAGTTTAGTTTCTCGTCTTAGTACAACTTTGTTCCCAAACTTTCCAACAAGAAGATTTCACACCAAGGGAAAGAACAAAATAAATGAGAGTTAAGACCATGGAATTAGGCAATACTTCCATAGTCCATCCTTCCATGAGACGTTGATGGAACATTCGGGACATGATGGTTAGTCCTACGTCCTCCTACAAGACAATTTAATTTTCACTCTCTTAAGACCAATCAGAGTCTGTAAAACAAGAAAGAAAATTCTAGAGGAAGTTAAGATGAGTGAAAGACAGTTTACCCCAAGGGTTACCATTGGTAAATGAGCTACTTCTTGGTGACCGTTGACCACCGGAATTAGTATTGGACGGAGGAAGCTGAGCGTTGATGTGATTCCGATCCATAGCTCTTCCAGCATTTGGTCTCCCAGTCCCATGATTGTATCTTGGAGGAGGTTGCTGCCCTAAGCGACTTGGAGAGTTCTGAGAGACATGAGTGAGTTGTGATCCTGGCATAAGTTGGCCAAACCTGGCATGAGGATCATAACTTGGTGGGCTGCCAATCTCTACTTGCGAAAAGGGTTGATTTGGAGCATATCTCCTGAAGCAGATTCAAAGTTACAAGCAATTAAGCCAGTGAGAGGATTCAGATCCATCAAGAGTAAAACGCAAAATAGCAAAAGAAAGAGTTGCAGGAGCAGAAGTTCAAATCTCCCTATCAGAGCAAGTTCAAGAGATAAACAATAGATCATGTCTGGAACATTGCAACTTCAGCTTTCTTTCTACTGTCCACCAAGAATCAGACTTCTACAGAGGTTCAAAATCACAATGTACAGAGCTATGTCTACCTTTCTAAGAATATAAGTCTTATCAAGATGACTATATGGCGCATAGCTAAAATCACGGATACAGGAGGCATCAACTTCAAGTAAGGAGTTTCTACTTTCTATGTTCCCATATTCTACTCAGCAATTCCTGGTCCAAATTTAAGATTACTCTGATACTCAAAGCTACTACATAGTTTGACCTGATAAGTTAGTATGTATGGAAGATGTAAGATCTACTTATCACCAAAGTTATTGGTGGGTGTATATGTGGGGGGCGCCTTCTAACAGAAATTCACAGCCAAAGAAGGAAGGGTTCAGCATACTTTCCCTAAGATGTCTTTTAGGTTACCTTTGGGTTGTCGGATTTGTGGATGAGGTCGAGGCATTACTGAACCTTCTAGCACTGGATGCATCTGTTGAACCAAGTTGCATACTTCTGCTGAATGCATTAGCAACAACACTCTCATCGGCGCTATCTTCTTGTAGAAGCAAATCATCACTGTACCACAAAAATGTGTATATTATAACTCCCAATTAAAGGACTGGAGGCAAGCATATAAATCTGACAGCATTTTTAGTCTTGACATACAAAAAGTATCTTATGCGACTGTAAATAGCCATGATGAAAAGAGATTAGAATAATTTAAGCTGGAAGATTAAACAAATCAGAGAATAACATGAGGTGCCAAAGAGTAAGTGCCCCATTCAAATGGTTATAACGTAACTGATTCTAGATGTCACTCCACTGATTTATTTTGTCACAGTTTTAATGCCATAACTTTGTATATCTACGTTTAAAACCCGACTACCAGTTAACAATGATCAGACATCAGGGCTGTGACTTGCCTTATCTGATAGGGTTGGAATTGAAGACAATACAGAAGCACAATATCACTCACATTCTAGATAAGCCTGCCAGATTTTACACAACATACACTCGTAGACAAAGAACCTTGACATTCTCTAACCTGTATATTAGAAAGCATTTTGTTTACTTGCCTGTAATTCGGGTCCCAATCTCCTGGATCGGGCACTGATAAGGCAGTATCCGGATTCTCAAGATGGGGTCCAGCACTGGAAGGATTATGCATACTGGACCGAAGTGATGAGCTGGGAATATTATGAGTAGAGTATCCACTACCTGATGTCTGCTTACGGTTCTGGAACCCAGAATCCAATTGTCGGTGTGAAGGTGAACCAGAGAACTGTCCAGAATACCCATCATTTTGATAAAAGTTATCCATCCCATGACCTTGCGCTTGTGACAAGGAAGAATCCTGCGACTGAGAAACTCCAGAATATCCAACGCCTTTTCTTCTGTTAAATTGACTAAATGCAGCCATCTTTCCTAAAGGAGACCCATGAGAACTGTTTCTCACTGGAGATGTTGGCCCATGGTGTCCAGGAGAACCAGCTAAAAATTGATTGTTTGTATTTGGTGGAGTAAATTGCGACGGACTAGTGCCAAGAGGTAGTGGTGCAAAATTTCCAGCAGATGGACTTGAACCAAGACCGCCTCCATGTGGGTACTGCATAACCCTACGTCTGGCATCAGGACTAGTTCCGAGCATTGGGACACCACCTTTGTTTTGCATGTAAAGGCCAGAATGATTCACAGGAGAATAATAGGCAAACATGTTGCTGGTCTCTCCAAAGCTCCCGTAGCTATTTCCCTGCATAGTACCATCATTGTAGCTACCATAGCTTCCGATACTCCCATAACTGTTTGCATGTGAATAAGGCATCATCTGATAATGGGGACTATTGTGCATCGGGATTCTGGTTCTCCCTGATACCTGTCAAAGACTTAGAGTAAATAACTTTCAAAAAGAAGTGGACAAACAAGTTACAGATACTTCAAAGGGACAAAGACCCCATACATGAGGAGAGAGGCCAGCGGCAAACCAGTGCCCTCCACCTGGATGATGGTCCACTTTGATATTTTGAGCAACATGCTGCAAAGAAAATAGAAATGGGACACAAGAATCAATTCAGTGAATAAAGGAATTTTTCACGTCCCTCCCCAAGAAAGAAATACATTATTTCTTTCAGCTAATTTTCTGCAAGATCTTTTAACTGAAACATTTGTATCGACAACATAAGAAGTTGAAATATTCGGAAGACTATGCTAGAAGGAAAAGTATCTTCAATTCATCACTATTAATTGGATTAGAATATGATGAAATAAAAATCATTGTGAAACGAACATGAATCCAGGACAACAGCCTCACTGCTATGCTATGAGCCTATGAACACCATTAGTATGACAACAAGGCCACATAAGAAGTTTGAGACCTGGGAAGGAATTCCATCTGACTTACCACATGAGGTGTTTCTGGTGGAGGGTTGTATGGGCACGTAAAAGGTTCCCCAGTGATAAAAGGGTGCTTTGCTGCCTAAAGGAATGAAAAGTAGATGTTTATCGATCATGGATAGCAAGAAACTATGAAGCCTTTACACTAAATATAGAAATGACTTTAGCAGGAAGTTCAATACCTGAAAAGGTGACCACCGTTTTGCTGGATCAAATTCAACAAGTCCTCTCAGAAAATCAATAAGAGCTAACCGGATTTGAGTTTCTGTGACAGTTCATGAAAAAAGAAAAAAAAACAGTCACCTTGGAAGATAGTCCAGAGATTATCCGTGGAAACTTAAGAACATAAGAGCATCCTGACTTTACCTTTGACTACATCGTCTTGAGGCAAGTTTACTTTGTAAGGATAGCCTTTAACAATTTCTTCAAGGTCCTTATGGCGGAAGTACTCTTTCCCAATCTCTGGCTTTTTCTTTTCTCTCTGGAAAGTTAAAAGTAAAGAACAGCACGAGTTATTCAGAGAAAAATCTAAGTGCCAAATCTTGATGACTACATAAGAATAAAATTAATCTCCTCATGAACAGACTACATTAATCTCTTCTTTGTTCACTGGCATAATTGTCTTCCTGGTTTTCGATACTCCTTTTAATATTTTTGTTTAGCTCAGAGGTAAAGCAAGAATACTTACAGCTTCAAACTCTTCTTCCGTCAGTGGCATATAAGCACTTTTGAGGCCACCATTCCCTAAATTGTGGACACTCCCAACACATTTAAAGAACTTATTCGTATTTTTTGCTTCCTTGAGCACATAATCAGGTGGCTGTTTGCTGGAATACAATCATAACAGGAAAAAGGCAAGATATAAAATAAGAAAAGTTCCCTGTTCCTACAAATCTTTCTTAAATAGAAGCAAGGACTTCATAGTTGCACAAACTTTGAGAAGCAAAGAAGAGGCTACCAAGAATATAGAGGGCAATGAAAGAATTACAATCAAGTACCAAGAAAAGGCTATCGCCATTGAATAAACGCTACTAGGAAAATTATTTGGTGTACAATATAAGAAAAAAAGAATGCAAGACTACGAGTATTGACCATCAAGGGTTCAGACCCTTAAGATTTTCCCTGAATCCCTTCAATTATAGACTGCTTGCTCATTTACCAATTTCATAAGAAGAAATCATACCCCAGTATCTCAATCATACGCCTCAAGATATCAAATTCTGAAGCTCCAGGAAACAGTGGCAATCCAAGAAACAGTTCGGCGACTATGCAGCCAAAAGACCACATGTCAATAGCTGTAGTGTATCTATATAGCGGTTACGGCTCAACATATGAAAGTAATTTTAGTATCATCTACCATAGAAAGAAAAAAGCAACGAACTTAGTTTTCAGTCAAATTAATGCGGTATAGGAAGTTACAATTTACTGGAACTATAGCAACTAAGTTATCGCAAGTTGCTCAAATAGATCAATAAGAGTCACAGACCAAACAAGATTGCAATGAACATAATGCTAAAACAAGCCTATAAGACATTGCAGTACCAAAGATTATAATTTTGTTTATTATCTTTAAATTTATAAGGATACTGGTACCCAAGTAAAACTTCCGGCGATCTGTAGTAACGACTCTGTAGAAAAAATAACCAGCCAACATAATTATTCTGTTTGGTTTGACACATCAGAATAGACAGATATATATATATATATATATATATATATATATATATAAGAAGCAAGAGGATAACCTGAATATATGAATAAACAGTCCTATCTTCCATGCACGCTGATCCAAAGTCAATTATCTTTATTTCAGTTGGCTTCACACTGATGCAATCGAAAAAAAATATATATTTAGCTAAACTGAAGTTACTGATTCCAGTTGTACGTATAGGATTGGTGCTAGAGAGTAGACCTGGTACACAGAAGAATATTCTCTGGCTTCAGATCACAATGGATTATGCCAGCATCTTTCAAAAGAGCCAAACCAAGTAAGATCTATGGGACACCATAAGCAAACAGTTGATACGGTAAAGTAAGATAACTTTAAAGAAACAAACTGGTGTAAACACAGATCTAGAAAATCTTAATACCTGCTTTGAGAAGAGCTGGACTATGCTTAATGAGAGGCCTCTAAATTGATTTATCTTTATGAGCTCATACCTGTACCATTGCCAAGGACAATGGAATTTTCATCAAAAACTGTTTGCATGAAGGAAATCAGTAGTAAGAAAGAACGAGGAGCATACTTCAGTTATACAACTTACAGATTCATGTCGAGAAGTTCAAAGCATATGCACAAATGACGTTGATGTAAGAAGTAGTCGTATATGCGAACAATATGGTGCTTATCCTCTGGATCATACTTCTTGTTTAGCTACAAACTCGAGCAAAAAGTAAGAGAAGGCCCCATTAACGATCTTCAATACCAAGAATATGAATACAAAGGCTCATTCAAATATATAAGAATTGCATACCGTTGTCAAAATAGATACTTCAACCAGTGCCTGCTGATAGTATGCAGGCTGGTTTTTTATAACTTTTACAGCAACAAAGCTGTTTGTCTCAGGAACCCAGCATTTAGCAACCTGACCAAAAGTCCCATGGCCAAGAAGATCTTTGACAATGTATCTAAGGCCACGAGTAAAGCTTAATCAAAAGGACGTCTTTCGTACACAGAAATCAGTTCAAAATTTATGCCTCTAACAGCAACACAAAAGGAGGGACAGTATCGGCAAAGTGAAAATAAAAGATAAATAAGACAATAGCAAACCTCTGCCGTGAATCTGAACGGCACAAATCATCATTTACAGCCAGAATTAGATCGGAGTTGACATTATCAAACCCATCATTGAGAACACCAACTGATGGAGTAGTCAAGTACCGCTTGGGATTCAACTCTCCTCTATATTTGAACTGTGCGTTGCATATTTTGTATGTCTCAACCAAGTCCCTAGTTAGTCTCACCACTACCTACAAACAAACAAATATAACAAAGCTAATTTAAGCACTGAAACGTATTGCAGCAGTGACAAAATCTCGACTCTTGCAATCCTTGAGCAGATTTACATTTCTGGTGTCTCATCATAATAGTGATCCCGAACAAGATAAAGAGGTAAGGTATGGAAAATAAGTACAACCCCGCTTAACGTCAAGGCAAGAAGACATCAATATTTATCAGTTAATTCCAAAACCTTGCCCAACTATCACAGCAGAAATTACATTAAATTACAGCGGCTATAAAACTAATGGAAACACATTAGTAACAGAGACTTGCTATATACTCCGCTAGACAGTTAAACAACAAGGTCAAGATATGTCAATTGAACTCTGGTATGCATTCAAATGATCCAACAAAACTACCAGCCACTCTCCTTATCAAAGTAACTATTCAAGTAAACTAGTTTGCACAAAGATCAGTACAGACTTGAACCAAGTAGTTATCCAACAGTGATATAACACTGGGCATGACATATCCAATCATATAACCAGGACGCTCGTGAACCACAAAAGAAGCAAATGGCTAACAGTTTGGATCTAATTCAGAAATCAGATGACTTAGGTTGGATGACACCTAAAAGCATGAAGGAGCAGTGGATAACTCTAACCCGAGGCTGCATTAACCATCTTCTAAGCCAACTTTACTATACATGCTCCTTTATGAGTACTGTAATAGAACACATAGTAGACTATTTGTAAGATACTGGACCAAGGATATTCGACTCGAGATTCACACAAGAAGCCTAAAGCTAATTGGCAGCTTGACAAACAACATTGGCTTACTGAACCAGCACAGATCCCTTCTTGAGTCTCTATCCGTTTTCACTATACTAAATCTAAAAGATGTTAGCTTTGATGCAATCAAAGATGACATGAAATTTGCAGGGTTCCTCTAAAAACTAAACAAGAGCAACACTTACCGGCTTCTTCTTCACGGCGGCACGAAATGACTGAACTTTGCCATCGGACCCTTTCTGTGGAGAATAACGCTTGAAGACGAGCTGAAATGGCTGCCACGGTGTTGATGCTACCGACGTACCACCGTCGCCGGAATCAATGGCATCCATGATCGGAACAAAACAGTAAAAAAACAACCCCCAAAAACCTCAATTGACCACACCAAACTCTCTCATCCACGCAAATTGAGATAAATTACAGACACAGACAATCACCAATTCCTAATTTTCTCCCCCAAAGAGCTCAGAAATTCAGGAGTTTGCGATGATCAACGGAGACAACCCGATTGACTCTAGTCCCATGCCCTTTTTCTTCATCAAATCAAACCCAAGTCAGCGCACTCGAAACCCTAAATCGATCCATAGGACTATCGATAAATAAGCTTAAATGCAGAGAAGGAATCGACTTTTATGGCGTCGGAGGAGCACCAGCAGGAAGGTTACGGCCGGACAATTTCAACTGATGATTCAGAGGACAAAGTTGAAATCGGAGGACGAAACAATCGAAACCCAAGTGTGGGGATGAAGGGCAAAGGGTCAGATTTTCGGGGTGAGTAGAGAGAGAGAGGTCGAGAGAAAAGTGAAGCTTTTTGATTTTGATTTTGATTTTTTTTGGTCTGACTCGATGTGTTTCGTCTTCGAAAACGGACACACTCCTGAATTTTGTTCTTTCTCCTTCTTCCCCCTTCGCCAGAGGGATTTTTGTTTTTTATAAATAAAAACAAATTAACTCAAGTTGAGATTGTAATCCATATAATTTTTAAATAAACCTAAGAAAATTTATTTCCTATTTAAAAAATATCATTTAAAATTTAGCTTTTCTTATTAAAAATTATTAAATTTTATAAACTTCAAATTAAACTAAAAATTATCAATAAAATGTGTTTAGATTTCATTTATAGATTTTAGCCAAATCAATATCAGGTATAATTTAATTCAGATAAATCATTTTTAAATATATTTTAAGACAACTTTTAATTTTTTTATCGGTTTTAATAGCGTTTGGATTTATTATAATGGTGTTTAGATTTTTTCTAAAAATTTAAATAATTTGATGGACAAAAATTATTTTCTATTTCGATTTCTAATTTTTTCTTTTAATTAATTTTTCTATAAAAATTAGTATTTTTGTTTAGGGATGATTGTCTATGCCGAATCAATAGTTTGAATGCCTTTAAGAGTTGAAACAAGATCACATATGACCTAGTTATAATAAATAATTTATTAAACATTTAATTTAAATCGAAAAATGGTTGATTACATCTTAAACTTTCTAAACTTAAAAGATTTACACACCCAATTACTCATATCCAATTTACTTTGGATATGGATCCAACCAGACCAATTATACCGACCAAAATCAACAAAAAAACCCGACAAACATAAACGTGTTTCTCCGCCGCGATCAAACCAAAATTGACGGTTCTAGTTACTAAGAATTCCTAAGAGAAACACAGCAAATCGGATGCCTCCATGTTGACAACTGCATGAAATTACCAGTCAATACCTCCATATCGTTCGTCGAGAAAAAGGTAAGTTAAAATCAAATGCAAGTTTCAAAATTGATTAGTTTTAATTTAGTAGAGTAAGTAGTAAGGTTTAATGAATGGACTTGTTGTGTAGGGGATACGATGGCTCCGTAAATAAAAATGGCCCATACAAAAAAATGTCTCATATGTTGAAAAGGGAAAGGGAACCAAACATAGTCGAACAGAAGAAGTGAACGTGGAAGGAAGCAGCAGTCTAGCCCCCATGATGAACCCCGATGATGCGCTATAAGGGAACCAAACGTAGTCGAACAGAAGAAGTGAACGTGGAAGGAAGCAGCAGTCTAGCCCCCGTGACGAACCTCGATGATGCGCTATCAACGGTATGTTTATCGGTTTTGGCTTGAACAAGTAGGTAGTACTTGGCAATACTACGTGTATTTTGGTCCTAGTATTCTAAAAACAAATAGTAACATTGGGTAAAACTTGAATCGATTGCAGGATAAAACAGAACTAATGCAACCAATGCGGATGTACTTTCAACCGAGTGAGTACAAGAAACAAGTGAAGGTATCAACCAGATTTTACATTCACCATGCGGTGAACAACATCAATGACAGATTCAGAGAAGAATTGGTTTCTCAACCACCCCCAGTTCAAGCACTTCTTCTGTATGCATGATGATGACCATAACCACAAGGTTATGGGCATGTGGATGCTCTTGCTTCGAACAGCTATAGTTGAGAAGCAAAGGGAAGCTTGGTTTGTGGTTAACAGAGTCCCCATCAGATATTCTCTCAGAGAACACGCTATGATATATGGGTTAGATTGTCGAAGCTATCCTGAAAACTTCATGCAATTTGGGGGTATGAAATTCGCCGAAAGGCAATTTGGCCAAGGAGCAACAGTAACATATGCAAAAATTGAAGAAAAGTTACTGAAAATGAAGAAACCTAATCCAGATAGCTTGAGAATGTGTGTACTCTACTTCCTGTGTAGCATCATTGTAGGCAAAGAGAAGACAGGAAAATTAGCACCATCTGTTCAGAAGTTTTTTATTAGAGTTGTGGATGATCTTCCACTCTGTCGGACATTACCCTGGGGGAGATACTCCTTTGATCAGAATTTGAGCGATATTCAGAAAGAGATGGATGATTATAAAGGAATCGTTGATATAACATGAAAGTTTCCTAATTTTTGTACTTCATTGGAGGTTAGTATGATATATGTATTCATAATTTTTTATTTAATGTATTCCCTAACTTGCTAAATAAATGTGTCATTTGCAGTTGCTAGCGTTTGAGGTTATTCCAAAGTTGAAAAATAGATTCCAGGAAAGGCATGCAGGCGCACATAGAAGCTGTCCTCGGATGTGTAAAACCAAGTTTAAGCGATATGCTTTGAAAGGATTTTCTCTTTCAGAAATTTATGAAGAACTTGGTACAACTAAGGTTAGAAATCTAGAGTAGATATCCTTTGAATGTCCATTAATTAGGTTTGTAAATCTAAACTTGTTTGTTTTTTTATACACATGACATTCAAAGCGTCATGCTGGCTTCTGATGAGGAAGAATCTATGGTAAAGGAAATCACAGATAGGGAAGATGAAGATGTGCATGATGTTGTTGTTGAAAGTTGGATGAAGCTTATCAATCAAGGCAAATCTGTTTGTTTTGAAGAGATGTTCGATGAAGACTTGGCTTCCCGAGAAGAAGAGGAGAGTGAGGAGGAGGAAAATGCGGCCCTCCCTGCTCAAGATGAGGAAATTACGAACCTCCCTGCTCAAGATGCGGACGTACATGAGGAGAATTGAACCATGCGGGAAAATGCGGCCCCAATCAGCATGTTAGTAAGGCTGCAACTAGCCATGGAAAAAGGATTTAAAGAAATCAAAGATATTACTTAGTTTTTCCTAGTGTGATTATCATTTTGATGGTGCCGGTGGTGTACAAGTGGAGAGATTGATTGCTGAGAAGGTAGCACTTGTCATTTTTAAATGTTAAAAGAAAAATATCAAACTAGGAAAAACGAAGTAATATTTGATGCAGGGTCAAGAAGAAGTCTGCTTAATTATAACTGAAACTAAGAGTTTTACAATTGCAAAACAGAGACTAAGAGAAATCATACAATTAAACTAAGAGAAATCATACAATTAAACTAAGAGAAACCATACAATTAAACTACTTAAACAAGTATATAATAAAGGAGATGACAACTGAATGGAGGGCAATAAGCACTTTAATCATTAGCTACAGTTCCATTTCCTCAAACACCATGTTCTGAAGTTTCAGCACCTTCTCCTTTAGATCTTTCAAATCTGTAGCACAAATCTGCATTGATTCCGTCAATGGGTCAAGCTGGTCTCTGGTTTGCAAAACACTATACCACATCAGGTGGGTGTCAACAAAATTGTCATCACAACCTGATGTAATGTAACGAAATTGATGGTCCTAGTTATCAATCTCTTCCTTCATGGTACAAAACTCCTCTATCATTGCATCATCCCATAATTTCCATATGTGGTAATCTCCATCCTAAGCATGTACAAGCATTTATAAGGGTAAGCATAATTGTTGAAAAACAGCAGAAATTAAATTGAATTGTCAGCTTACGTCTTTATTGACACAAGTATAATAAAGCCTCTGAAGATTCAAACCAGTTTGTATAGTTTGAAGCAAGACTGCTCTACTACAAAAACAGTGGGTTGGAATTCCAGAATCCCTAGGTTCACCATCATTGCCACCATTGAAGCTCGCCGACTCGGTTGTGTCACTGTTGCTAGGACCATAATCATATTATTCCATATGGTTGCTGGCAGTTATACCCAGTAATACTAAACCAAATTGAACCAAGTATTACTAAATCAGAAAACCCATAATGGATCAGAAAGCAATTTCATAACCTTAAACCCATGAATGCAAACCCAGAAATCAAATGGAAAGCAATTATATTCATAACCCTAAACTCATGAACGCAAACTCAGAAATTGATCAGAAAGCAATCATGTTCATAACTCTAAACCCAGAAATCTGATCGGAAAGAAATCATGTTCATACTCATGCTTCGACTTACCTAAAGAGAGAAGAGAGAACGAACCCGAAGGAAGAGGAAGAGGAAGAAGGAGAGGCAAAAAAATTTTGGAGGAAGAAAGGCGAAAAGGAGAGAGATGAAAAAGAAATAAGATAAATTATTTCATACCGCTCTCCGAAAATTAAAATCAAATTTTAACTACTACTTTCCAAAAAGGACTGCAAAAACTCGATATTTCATATGTGTACCGTCATTTTCAAACACGTGCGCCGCCAAACCTTGGTATTTCTCACATAGTGTTACTTAATAAACCAGTATTACTTGCTTCCAAATAGTGTTATTTTTGAGGGGTTTTAAGTTTTATTTAGTTTTACCTTAATTAAAACCAACATTTCGTAGTTTTCCCAACCATATTAGTCAAGATAATTACAGTCCAATGTGTTTATATATTAAAATGTATGAAATCATATGAATGTTTTGCATTCTCAAATGGTTCATATTAACTAAGTGATCATGAAATTATAAAGTCTTTAATGAGTACAATTTATAATAACTACCATAATGGTATTGTAATATTTTTCTTCTAATTAAAACATCTTCTTCGTATTAAATTGGTATTTATGTGCTGTAATG